TTTGGCTAATGTACGGGGGTCTGAGATCATCAGCAAGTCGACCCTCGAATGGAATGCACAAGACGGATAATGTTACGATCTCAACTTACTTCAACAGGTTCTTGGCTCCAACGATGGCCGCCGTGCCCCCTGCATAAATTCCCAAGAGCCTACTCCAGCTGATATTTCCGTATGCGTTTTGGCCGACACTGAGGGCAACCAAGTCGTAAGCAAGGCACCCGCCGAATATCCAGTCGCTGGCAGTCGCGAGAAGGCCAAAACCAACGCCCGTAAGCACTTTCACGGCAGTAGACGGCTGTTGTCCGACAAAATAGGCTACGGAGCCATTGTGCAGAAGGTCCAGCACGCCGATTCCAGCAAAGGTCTTCGCTACGATGTGAGTAAGGACGGAGTTGACAGATTTGGTGTTCATTTTCGGCAAGCGGCTGGAGATGAAGTAAAGCTGAGCGAGACTGTTGATGACGACGAAGATGTTGGCCGTCTTCAGATCCGAATTGTTCCAAAATATCATCCAAGCTGTTGTTTTATATCAGTCTTGCTCTCAAAATAATCGGAAACGAGCAAATCTCACTGGCAATGCAAAAGTTCCCGATAGCATAGAACGGTGCAAAATCGACCATTGTGGATACGTCGGCGTCCATCTGCTCCGCCTTCGGATCGGCCTTGTACAGGCGCCAGAGCCACGCTAGCTGGAACAGCTGCTGAGGGAAAAAGAATCCGGCGATGAAAAAAGGTTGCGGGGAGAAGAAGGAAAGGTTCGCGTCATGGACATCTTTCATGTTGGGGGTGCTAAGCATGCCATAGTTCTGGGCGGCAAAGTCGACGATGAACGACAGGGGCGCGAGCCACCTGGCGGTTGAGAGTGAGATACCCATCATTGAGATTATTGTATAGTACTAGGTGAATATGGTAATGTTTCTGGGTGGTCGACGAAGAACGTAGCGAAATGTCGGGAAAAGTCGAGGGGTAATGGTGGTGGTCTTATTCAGTTCGCCAGTATCTCGATGACACGTTCGGTGTTCCCAATTGGCCGACGACCGACGCTCCCGGATACCACACAGGTTCATGAGCTCATGATTTTGGCCGGATTGATTGGCTTTGTGCACTTACGTCGCCAAATAAGTGTCCTACGTCATTGACTTTTGGGGTCAAGACAAGCGCCGATGGGGCCCGTGATGACCGGCCGATTTCATCGGCCCCACTCCGAAAGTCCTTCACCCGAGACGGCCAGTCCCCGGCAGTATGAATATGTTATGGGCTCTAACCACACAGCAGTCCCATGTGCGTAGGTATTAGGGGCGTCCAATCATGGATTGAATACAGAAACCTGATTGCACATTATTGAATTGATGTTGAGATTATACTCAAGTCTAGTGAAAGATATCTATTCTATGGTGCCTCGACGCTTTTTGAGTCGCTTATCGGACTGATCGGACTGTGTAGTTTCAGTGGCGTTTGTATGACTTCGGCATTCGCTTCGAGGTCAATGTTGAAATCTGGCAAGGGGGTAGAATTGTCCATGTTTGCCGACGTAATGCGTTGGATCTCTGCCATGTTGTCACTGGTCGGATCTGATACTTTCGCTGGCCGGCTCAGAACGCTCATGGGATATGTGAGAGTTGATCCCGTCAACCCTGAATCGTCGCCGAACACGTCTTTCCCTCTTCCATTTTCTTTGGACCCAAACGGACTGCGTCTCCTAGCATGGCCTATGGTTTCTACCGGTGGCAGTTGCGAGTCGTGGTTGGTTGTCTCAAACATTCGTTGGTACCAAGGAAGCCTCTGGGCCAGCTTTCGTAGAAATGGCACGCAGGAGCAGATAATCAAGGTGCTTACTTCAGCCTCTGACCATATAATCGGGACGGCAAGGTCGTGGGTATCATCGAGACCCATTTCAGTCACGGAGTGCATGCGGATAACAGAAATCGCACAGACCCTTGCGAAACTTGTCAGCATCGACGCAGAAGGCCGACAGTCGTGGATAATTGACTCACATCAAGCCAAGTGATAGCATAGCAATAAGACCAAGTCTCTTGATGATGGGCAGTTGAAGCCTCCAAAGGAACGGTATCGGTTGAATGAAAAGGATCAAGTCCGTGCAAAGGTTGAAAGCAAACTAAACATTTCATCAGCATCCGGACATAAAGCGATCATCCTGACGAGCAAGCGGACACTTACGCCAATCCACCACAGCACAGGCAGGTCCAGGCAGGTTCCTACCATGCTCGGACTCCAGGCCTTCGCAATTGGATGACACTGGAAAATTGGAATCATGCTTTCTTCAATCGCTTGGCAGCACAGGAATACAACGATCGTCTTGTTGACGATGATTAGTCGTCTCTCGGGAAGCATTCGGATGTACAGCACGGCAAAAGACATTTTAGCCAGCGCAAGACCGTAGCTGTACGTTGAAGATGTCGATATCGTTAACTGCACCGCAGTCAGCACGAATCCACTTGCTTGAATTCTAATGGTCTAGACATACCTTGAGGAATCGCTCGTAATTTGCTGGGTCGACGTCTTGATGATGGCGGCCAAAGCCTGCATGAGCCGCTGTCCCAGAATTAGCTTCCGCTCCACCAAGAGCAAAGAACACTCCCTACGTACACACAAGAGTCTGGATGCACATGGCCATGGTGAACACCTGGAAATACGTTAATCAATCGTTACCTCCCCTTTGATCGAGAGCCGCGCTCGCAAGCCGACGTACCCAACTTGCAACAATAAGGACTAAGACGATTTGTCAGAGAGCACTTCGAGACCTCAGAGTATGGTTTCACCTACCATCATCGAGTCCATATGTCCTAAGACTTGCCCTGACGCCTACGCGTACGGATATGACCAGCGTCGTAAGACACATCATTGCTACAGTAGCACCGATGAGTGGTTCCACCAAGCTGTCTGCCATTTTGGTAGGCTCCAGTCACCGCCACTCCACTACTGTGTTCTGGATTTCATGGGAAGTTTCCGAGCGGATGGATCAGTTTCGCGTAAGAGGCGTTCGTCGCTTCTCGAATGGTGGCACTTCACGTCCCCAAGTCCCAGGAGCACTGGAAGTTCAATCCATCATTCTGCGCACGTGGGTACGCCATGGAAAGATATGACGATTAGGCGCAAAGTGTACGAGTGCTTGGCACAAAAAAACAGAGTGTGTCAAAGATCAAGCTATGACATAAGGGGGCAGTCTACTTTTGAAGATCTGCGAATTGGGTGCCGGATATTGGCTGCGGCGGGCGGATGGAGACCCCTCCGCTCTACCGATGGACAAGGTTCGCGGAGAGAGCGTGAACTAGTCAGTCTCATAGGATAATTGAGAAGCCTTTGCCTTGTGGTTCGTAGAATTGGCTAGACGCGAGCTACTCGCAAAGCTTAGATACCCCACGGAACTCCTGAGGAAGCAAAACCTTGCCCCGTACTGCACTCAAGATCAGGCGATTTCTGCCCAGTTTGTATCTCTGATGGGCTAAATAACTTGCTGGCCGGTCTTTGGATTCGGTGTTTGGGAGGGGAAGAGACAAATTAGCTTCAGTTCAACAAGGGCATGCTGGTGTGAAGTATCCCGCCCGGGTTAGTTTTCGAGGGGACCAGGAGCGCAGCGCGAAGTTTAAAAGTCACGGTTTGCATCACGTCTCCTGCGGCGTTTCAAGGACCGCGAAATATACTTCACGGAAACCCATACCGAAGTTACCCAGGAGCTAATCGGAAGAAGTTCCCACCATCCAAGGAGTATTTCTCCGTCTTGGCGCCAACGTGCAATTGTCAATCAACCCTGCCAAGTTCGACGGAAAACCGTCGCTTCCACCTTCCATCCACACGCAGACAAATTTCTCGCCCTATCATGGGAAGAGACAAATAGAGTTGAGCTTGTTTTGCACTTGCTTCTCGGTGACGAAGGTCTGTAAAGACTTTGATGAGTCAGGCGTATGCCACATGTCGATAACGCAAGGTGTAGGGGACGTGTACGAGTCCAGCCTTCGCAAACCGAGGACTGGACGGCGCAGAATGATAGTCCTCGTAAATTGACAATGAATGTGCTCTTTGAACATTCCTATCTCGAGTTGAAGCTATGTTCCGCTTGTTGGCATTGGTGTGTCAAAGACGGGTCTGAATCTAGGTGAGTCTGATAATCTGTAGCCAACTGGAACGTGGAATACGTCAGTCATCTCACAAAATCCCAATGTCGTCGTGATCAACAGCAATTTTACTTCATTGGGATTCTGATTCCCCGTCAAGCTGCGACCTCATGTGATTTAGAATGACGAGGATGTAAACAATGACGCAATTAGATCTCGTACTGTTCAGCTGCTGGCTCCTCACAGCAGATCAGCGAACGTTGGCAGAACATTATTCCCATGGCAGAGACAAAACATAGAAGAGCTTCACCGGCTACCAGTCAGAGTGACCTAGCGCGCAATGTCGCGTCGGTTCTGGCGTGAACCGAGAAGGATTTTCGCATGGAAATGCGCACCTATGTTGGCATCCCATTTAGATAGACAATTAGCGTTCTCGACCGGGAAAAGCTGACATGTAGTCGCTAGGCCCCTGTCAACGACAGCCCTTTCCTACCTACAAATATACGGTAGTGGCTGGGCTTTATGCGCAGGCGTATCAATCAACCATGGCAAGAGCTTTCGGCGTTTGACCCCAAACGGAGGACATTGCTTTTCGGGGTTTGCTTGCTTTTACCAAACCACAATACACTATGTTCCGTACGTCAGTACTACAATGGTGTCTCTCTCTAATCATGCGGGTTTTACTGTTGGAGGTTGTAGATACGCCAGAGACTTTTGACCAATGTAGCGCATTGAGTAGAGAGGTGTCGTGGTCATTGTTTGCCATGTCTTGCTCATGAAGCAACCTTCCATGAGCGTTCAAATTGTATAGTCTAACACGATGGCAAGCGTGGTATTAAATAATTACTATTACTGTTGCGGCATATCTATCTCCCGGTAACACTCCCTCATGTCAACGAAAGTACTCGCCCTGAAATATGGAAGGTCTCAAGGAGCCACATGACTCAACCACGGGCTGGTTAAGTCGGTGTAAAAGCTTGCGCCCTTCACGACTGATGGTGCCCCCGCAGCAGTAACATTGCAGTTCGTGATCCAGTTGCCCTCGAAGTCGAGCTTGTCGGACACGTACTTCCTGTAGTCTTCCAGTAGACATGAAGATCCGGGTCCGTTCTTGCAAGAGGGCAAAGGATAAACAGCGTCGTTCAAACGGATACGAACATAGGTTGCGTTGTGAGATCCACCAGGAGATGGCGCAGTCGAATTAGAGCATCTCTTGACTGGGGGAGAGGTGCGTGTTGTGTTTCCATGCGTACCATTGCCAGAAACAGCACAATTAAGTCGCTCAAAGGCGATGGTACCTCGCATCGTGGTGTACCGAGAACTGACCCAAGCGCGGTTATCGTCTTTCTCAGTCGGAGAAAGCGGGGCTTGGGAGTCCATAACTCCCGAGGCTGTCACAAGCTCATTGAGCTGTCCATCATTGAGGAAAGAGACAATGAGCTTTGGTAACGTAAACGTGCTTCCGTCGGCACGTTTGCCCGTAACGGATGGGCCTTCGCCAAATAGGGCCATAAGCGCGTTCAAGTACGGCGTCATCATCTTGGATGGAATATCCGTACCGGGACCAACTCCGTAGTAGTAGCGCAGATCTTGGAAGTACTCGTACTGGAGGAACTCCTCGTCCGAGAATACATCACACCAAGGTGATAGGCGACCGGTGATCTGACTCTCATATCCGCACAAGTATGGAATTTGCGACACATCGTTCTCGGTGAGCGTGAGATTGCCGGTAATCAAGCCTTGTAGGCGCTCGAGGACGGGGGGAATCCAGACATCGTTCCATTGAGAGACGTAGTCGCCGCCTTCCGTATCAGCGAACGTCGGACACATATCCGACGGGGCCAAAGAATCGCCGATCCCGCCAGGAAAACCTTTTGAAGTGACTGATACGATATCTCCGAACAAGGTGGCGTTGGTCCCCAAAAAGCCACGGACAAAAAGTTTCGCAGTCTGTAGAACTCGGGAATAGTTGTTGGCCCAGACCATGAACTCTTCGCCCTCATTGTAGAGATCTGGGTATCTTTCGGGGTCAGCAAACTTTCCTTGCGTGCAAGACTGCGGCATTTACCTTGTTCTCAAAGTGTATCCCAGGTCATGCGCTTCCTTGTAGCCAGTCGGGCTCAAGTTGGCAATTTGAGACGAAGGATTCGTTAAAGCTGTACGCCAATTGGGTAGAAAGCTTAGGCTACCAGAGGCCGTGTAGTTTCCAGCTTGAAACTACGAAACAGCTTGTTAGTCGTAGGTGGGGATGGAAAGGATTCAGTTGACTGACTCGCTCCTGCATAGACACCCAGCCGTTGTAAGCGCCGGGATCGGGATAACGTGAGCCATGCCGAGAGACGTAAGCTGCCTGGTCGACGAAGCAATTTTCCGGAATATCCGATGAAATTCCGTTGACATTTGGTCCTGGACCATTAAACGGTCAGTGTCTGGTGACATGAAAACGCCTGAGAAGGCATCGATCGAGGTAGTTGACAACATACCTGCGTACCAAGGGCCATTAGCGCCGAGGTGCTCCAACGGGTGTTCAGCAGTCTCGCTAGCCGGAAGATTAATGTCTTGAACCGGCGCAAGGAAGCGCGAGTTGGCGCTCACCAAGCTCGCGGCGAAGCAAATGAGACGGAGCTTTGAGATGGCCATTTGATCTTAATTATTCCCTGACTGGCGGTACGAAGGGCTGGCCGGAAACGATCATCTCTGCGTCTGGAGTCAAGGCAGGGCATTCTTTAATTATACTATGTCTCCCTCAGCGTCGGCCCGGTCATTACCGGGCACGTGCTGTTATCGTGTTGTTTACGTTCGGTGGACTTGCGCGGACAAGCGTGCCGGTGCACCCAATGTAACATTGGCATCAAGGTGCACGTGAGAAACATGCACATCTGATTTGACGACTTAAACAAGGTTGTGGATACCTAACGGTGATTCGATCCCAGAAGAGACGTCGTACCCGCGGCTGCATTCGCTAGCGGCGCCGACCCGCCCCCGGAATACCATGTCGAGCCGGGGGACTACGTCAGGCAATATAATTCCACCCGAGGAAAGGAAAGGCGCTGACCGAGTCTGCAAGATGGTTCACTGCACACCCCGAAGTTCGAAACTTCGATTCGCCCGCGAGCACCAGGCCTTCTCGACATGAGAGTCAACATCCGTCCATGCCCCTTTGTTGAACTATTCCTGGTATGTAGTATTGCCCGGTGCCAAACATTAGAGCCCGCAAATGTGGCGCTGGCGCTCCATAGTCGTACGTCGTTCAACCAAGTTTCCGTCGTGACGAACGATGACCTCGAATCCTGCCATTGTGCACATGAAGCGGTTGTCCGGCACTTCGTCCAGGCATCAACAACCTCAGATCCCGGAGGGGAGACTTGTCGATCTAGGCGGGTGCCACATCTAAGTGAATGGTCTCTAAGTTGGTTCTGGTTTAATTGGTCTCCAATCGCCGATTCCGAAAGAGCTTCTCGCAAGAGCCGTGTGCTATCGGCAAACTCGCTCGCACTCGACGGATATGCTTATCAACACAAGAATGGGATTTGTACAAGAGAATGAATGCCAGAGTTGTGACGTAGAATACATGACATGCGGAAGCTACTCCCAATAGGGATGCCTTAAACGTCTTGGCGGGAAAGTGATCATGAGTAGCGGAAGGTCAACCGAAGAAGAGACTTTAGCGGCAGGCGTCGACATTATTCGATTTAAAACCGTTGTGTGAGCGAAATGCTGCCCAGCCACAAATTAGTCTGTGGAGGCAAATGCTGCTGCGAATATGAAGTAGAGGCCCTAAATTTGATGGCAGCATAATCAATTCATTTCAGATTTCAATTCGCACCACACTGTGGTGCGCTGTGCCCCTGTGGCGGTTCAAACCGAGGCTCCAATTTGAGTCGGAAGTTGAATAGGAGATCTAGGAGGCAACATACAGAACCTGAGAATTGTATTAAACTGACCGCAGATGGTTATTTATTCCCTGAATTGCACCTGACTTCTAATAGAGAGTGAATAGGGCATATAGTGTCTTAAACTAAGAAGCCTGCTGAGATGTGTTCCGAGCGTTTAGACCTGGGGCCATCTGATGAATCTTATAGATCAAGATTAATTAGTCGTTCAGTGTTATCCCATTGACTGCTGAATAACGCCAGAAACCCCTCGCGCAGAGTAGTACTAATCAGAAGCCTGCCTTCTTTTTTTTCTACCTAATTAAACTAGCTAGATATTTAGTACTTCTATTCTCTATATATTCTAAATATAGAAGTTATACTAGTAATCTCCCTTAGTATATAGAGCTATATTATAATAAATATAACTAGATCTTATATACTTACGATAAGGCTACTAAATGAGGCTATTCCTAAATATCTCAGCTATAATTATCTAATCTTTTATAATAAAAACCTTACTATAAGCTATATAAAGGGAGTTAACCTTATAATTACCCTATATATAATATTACTATAGAAGATTATTATTATATTAATTAGTTACTCTATAAAGATAACCCTTTTTATAAGCTTCTATTAATAACCTAAAACGCTAAAATAGCTAAATATAAAACACTTAACGCTATTATATCTAGCTCCTAATTATATCCTAGTTACTCTACCCCTATAGTTATAATAGGAAAGTATTTATAATAATAACTTTAAGTAAAAAGTTCTAAACTAATAACTACTAGCTACTATAATAAATAGGATAACTATATAAGTAGTATAACCTTATTTAATTACTCCTATTAATACTATTTATATTATAGTTATAATTATTAATTATTATAAGTATTAAAAGATCTTTCTAAATATTAGGCCTAAAAACCTTATATATAGCCTTTTTTACAGTAAAGTCTCTAGTAAGCTAATACTACCTCTAGATAACTTTAGAGGTCTCTTAGTAGATTATTATAAAGAATAATATAAAGGTATTATCTTTCTAAATAAACTAATTAACTTAAAAAGTAATAAATAAGCTAATTAATATAAGAAGATATATAAGTAGTAGTTCTATAATTATATCTAGCTATCTAAAGTAAAGATATAATAAACTTTACTCTAAGGAATACTTTTACTATTATCCTCTTTTTTAGCTATAAAGATCTTATTAATACCTCTATTCTTCTAGTAAGTCTCTATAGCCTTAATATTTACTTTCTAAAAAGCCTAGAGAAGTTAAATAGAGGTAAAGAGATTATTAAGAAATATATAGTAAATACTAACTAGAAGTAAAGTTAAAAAAGTTATTATAACCTATTATATTAAGGTTAATACTACCTATTTTGTAGTATTATCGTTCTAAGCTAGCTAAGCTTATAGGACTAATCTATATAGCCCCTTACTATATATATATTATAGCTACTAGAGGTAGTATTTTTTTTAAGCTAAAACCTAAACCTTAAAGCTAATTAGAGTTAGCTTATTTAATATTATTATTATCTCTAATAATTAGTTTATAAACTAAACTATAGCTTTATTAATAATAAGGTTTAATCTAGTGTAATAGAAGTTATCTTTAGTCTCTTAAATATATTAAGATTAGCTATTAATTTACTAATATATCTTTAGTATCTCTATATTAGCTAGTTAGCTTTAGCCTTAACTTTAACCTTTTATTAACACTATAAGGTTAGTAGCTTTAAATTTAGCTATATTAAATATATAGAGCCTCTAGAAGAGAAGTTAGAACTAGTTTTAGGAGATATATTAGGTAAAATAATAGATAAGATCCTCTTTTTTAACCTAGCTAGACTAATATTACTCTATTAAAGTTTCTATATAGCTTCTTATATAAAAAAGAATACTAAAGTATAAGTAGATCTCTTTTAGCAAAGTAGGGTATTAATTATAGCTTCTTAAGTAATATTTCTAAGATTTTAGTATTAATATATTATTTATCTACTTAGCTTACTACTTTATAAGCTTCTAAGAGATAAAATAGAAGAAGAGGTCTAATAGTATTTTTAGTAGATCTTATATCTTAGCGTCTTAGGATAGCACTTTAAAGGGTTAGAAAGAACCTAAAGCTTTAGCTTTAGCTTTAAGGGCTTTATAGGGCTAGGTTATAGTGTTATTATAATACTCTAAAGTATACTCTAAAGTATAAGTAATAATAAAGTCCTCTAATAGGATAGTAATAGTAATATAGCTTTAGACTAATAAAGTAAACCCTATAGAAGTATTAGAGTTATTTAAACTTATTATAATATTAATTAAAATAATAATTTTAGTATAAAAGTAAGGATAAAATTATAAAGAGAAGTGACGTCTCTAGATATACTACCTCTATGAGGGGAAAAAGTGGACGTTTTTGTGGGTTGGGGTTTTTGGCGTCATTCGGCAGTCAATGGGATAGAAGGAGTGAATATCTCAAGCTAGGTATTAAAGCAATTTTGATGTCTTTTGTTCTAGCCTCAGTATTGCAGGTAGTTAGCGCGTTTGCAGGTAATCCCTCAGATAGAATTAGCAACCAAGGCAGGCATAAGAAGCACTTATGTGCCCATTTGTTACTGTAGAGTGATTGAAACAGGCGCTGAGATGAACGAGAACGTTGTATTTGCGCCATACACCACATTACATGTATGTGGTCTACAAGCATGCACTTATACATGCTGAGGTCGTTCAAAGCACACATTGCAAGAACGAATGTTTCTTCTTCACATAAAATTATAGTGTGTGACAGGCCGATACCGTCGCTTTTGAGCTATCCCTAAACAAAACTCAGGAAGACTATTAAATCATCGCTAAGACCCATTAAGTCCTCAATTAACAATACAGTGCCTTGATGAATTACTCGTTTTGGCTTCCAGACGGGCTGCTTGCGTGTTATATCTAGGTCTGCACGAATTTCAGCGAATAAAGTTGGCCTGGAATATGTCACATCAGGTGTCAGGCGAGGAGCTGTTTCACAGAGGCGAGGTTTGCGAGGAGCAATAGTAAAAGACTATGTGAGACAGAGTCAAAACCACCTTAGGAGCAAAGCGAGCCCGCGGTCTGAAGAACTTATATTTGGGTAGCTGAATCCATAAAGAGTTTGCCGAAGGATGTCTATTCTAACTCAAACACTTTTGATGTCGTGCATGATAAGCTTTGGCCATGTGGTCGTGTCCAAGATTTTGCCCGGCTCCGTTGCCTCGGGTTGTCAAACTGACCCGAGAACCGATCGGAATCTAAAACTCAACCGAGCCGACTTCTCACTCAGAAAGGTTCGGCCTTATGTGGCAATAAGGAGCCGTTCAAATCACGTAATTTGCAAAAATACAGGTCACAAATTTCAACATATAAACGCCAACTCGCCTACGTGTCGTTAATCTGCGTACGACTGGTGTAAAATGTGTTTCTAGCGCAATAATTTGCCAGATTCATGAACCTCTACCCCGAAGCAGTTGATGGGCAGCTTAGCAATTGAATCATTCATTGGGCACCAGCATGACGAACGATATAAAAGGTTTATTGGTTATCAACGCAATTCGCTACCATCCTGTTGGAGTTGTCATGTCAAGGCCTTCGAACGAAGAAAGTTGGCGATTGACGATCTCTTGATCTGGCATCGCCAAAGGGTCCCAAGACGACGCCCCGGCACCAAGATATCGTTGAAAAAGATGTTCCATTGGAGGATGATCTCCTTGATGATGGTCTGCGGCAGTACGACTTCCCTCGGGATGAGATGGAGGTTCCGTACCAGCCCGTGACCTACTCCAGTGAGGCACCATGATCTCGCGGATTCTAGTGACATAGGCGGGTTCGTCTGGCTGAATGCCATGTTCGGCACAGAGACAGTCTTCTCTCACCTTCCACGCTTTCAATACGAATTTTGCGAGTGCTATGTTGTACTCCTGCGAGGGATCAAGGAACTCCGGGTGATACTCATAAACCGCCGGGATCTGTTGCCAGGCGCGCTCAACCAGATTCCCTGAAGTCCGCTGACTCAATTGACCGACCATGAAGATTACCACATCGAACTGGAAAAGAAGCTTCAGAAACCAATGGAATCCTTGGTGCTTATTTGATCTGTAGGCATTGACGTTCTGCTCAGTAGTCATGACTGACCACTTGAAAAGATTGTCTTTGGGTGTTAAGATCTCACTTCCCCACTCTGGCTGTTCCTGAGGAGGGCGTGTGGTTTCTTTGACCTTCTGGAGAATTAGGGCTTTCAAAAGCGAGGCGAATTCGTGCACTGGGCCTGCAGATGGGTCGGAGTTTTTCTCCAAAACTCCATTCAACCGGTCTTCGAGTTGTTTGATGAACGAGCTGATCTGCGCCGATTGAACTTTGCTCTTGCGTCCCGAGCTGAGGGTACTGAGTTCGTTGTACAGCATCAGAGCCTCGATATCAGGTTGTTGCTGGATGCAATGCCCGATCTGGAAGACCAAAAGCGGTATCACCATCTCCGTGGGACCCTCACGCTCCTGATACTTGTCTGTAGCGCCCGGATGCAAGTCTGCATCGTTGAGGTTTTTCGGAAGCTTGCAGTCGCTCGGACGAGGGAGCAATGATTGGCTCAAACCGGAAATCATGGAAAACTTGCAGTCGAGCATGAATATCTGCCACCAAATGCGGCGCCTCATCTCTGTCTCGAACGGGGGCAGGCCGAGAAGCTCTCCGTCTCGATGGAGACCCATTTTCTGCGCGATCCGCACGCATATGCCGTTCAAGATCCAAGCGCCGTGTATGTTACAGCGACCTTGGATCGACATCTTGCCGAAGTCAGTAAGCATCAGGCTTGAGACTGAAGAGCGGCTTACCATGTGAAGCACGAGCGCCTGAAGAGTGGTTATGTCGTGTGATTTGAGAAAGTCGGCGCGCAGCAAGCTTTGCCTGACGCCGGTCGAAAATCTCCGGAAAGCAGCATTGCACGAGGAGCCAAGCATCGCCATGCACTCGTCTTCAGTTAAGGTGACAATTGACATGCTGAAAACTGCAAACATCAGAGCTTCCACATTGTTCGGAAGATGTCCAGGACCACTCGCGGCTTCCACCACAAATGGCTGCAAAGTTGGGGCATGTACGATTTTCGTCAGGGAATTCACCCTTTCCAAGAAGGTCTGCCAGAGCCGAAAGATTTGGCTCGCGGTGGGATACAAATCGTCGGGGTGCTGATCAACAGGAGAATCGCCGCCTACAAGCAAGTAATCGCTGTAATCGGGCATGGAAGCTCCAGGGTCCCATTCATGCTGTGGCTCAGGCTCTTGCCCCTCATCCTCCTTTTCAACGAGCTCCTTCATCCCACGCAACTGTAGATCATCAGTCAGCCAGTGTTGTGAGCAGACGATGGTGGAAAAGCTTGCCTCTTCGTACACCGTTGCCCAGAGGAAGTTGTCAATGAATCGAACAGAGCCATCTTCAACAATTACCTTGCCAGCGGGTTTCCAGTTGATCTGATTGTTTTCATAGAAAGGAATACTGGACGCTTGAGGCGGTGCTATGGTGCTCTCGTGGTCCAGGGGTTCTTTACTAGCAGCAGCATATTTGGCCAGGAGTTCTTCGCATCGCGCAAGTCTCGCCTGGAGCTCTGCATTTGGACGTCTCCTTTTTCGCACTGGGGCTGGAATACTAGGGCTGCACGTTGCTTTGGACTGGTGCCGTGACTGGTAAGCTTCATCGCCAGGGGAAGATTTTGGGCACGGTAAGGAAAGACCAGCGGCGACAAGACAAGGCGGGATCATCGCGCATCAAGGTGGGCAAAAGAGAGCGCTCCGCCGTCGTTGGCGAACCGCAAGTTTGTGCCGTAATATGCTGAAGCTTGAGGACAAGAGTGACATACCTTGATGCAGTTCGAGCATGGATACTTCCGGTCGCATTTGACCTTGCGGCGTTGACACAAAACACACGCCAGGGGCCGCGATGACTTGGATGAGGACTTTTCCGATGGAGATGCCGACATGGCGCGCAGGATGTCAACGATGATAGCGACGTGTTGAAAGGAGTACACCGATTAAAATCTGGAGTAATCCGGCATGCCAACAGCGGGGACGGGTATATACAGCAGGCCGGTCGGGAGTCGGTCACAGATCGTCCGATAGGCGATATTTCCCAAGGCAGGAATCCCTCCTTGCTGGTCCTGCACTCGCACTTGTAGGTGTGCGTATCATTAGAAGCTGCAACTTTGGGCGTTGCTGTCGTGTGCACGCAGTGCAGTAGGATACATTGGCTGCCTACAAGCCGGTGAGACGTATCTGTGAAAAGGGGGCTGGGAACCTTAAGATCCAATCTGTGCCCTAGCTCGGCGGCACGCTCGGCTTCGAATGCCTGTCTCAGTACAGGCGCGTGTACGACACAGTGACGCTATGGCGCAATTCCCAATTAGATCATACGCCTGGTCTTTGGCAGCCATAGAGCAGAACCGAACCTAGCACTTTGTAGCGCTTTGCTGCGTAGAGGGCCCAACGGCGCATGGGATTGCAACAGGTCCGTGGGCCACAGGGCGGTCGACTGTCCAAGGTCTGCTTGTCTTCGAAGTCCAGTAGTCCACACTGCTAGGCGAAACATGCCTAACAGATGAACTGCTAGGCAAGCACGAAAACTTTGCCTTACTTAACTGCCTGTAATCCATTCCGCCGGCGGTCTGAGAACAGCGAGAAATCACCGTAATTGATGCGTACGACTCACCTACGAATGGGAAAGACCCAGCCAACTTGAAACCTGTCTGAACTTTGTTCCCAAGCCTCTCGTTCGTTATGGACACTAATTGCAACTGGCCAATGCCATTGCTATGCATGCTGTCGAGTCAATCGTGCTCCGATATGCGTGGCAGGGCTCACGGCTTCGTCGCCTTGCTCTGGCTTGTCTTTGATCGGCAAAAACCCACTTCGTCGGACAAAAAGCTCTCTCTCGCAGTCTCGCTTAAACTCTGTTCAAATTTACAGAGTCAGTGCCATGCTTGCGACATCAGCAAATCCAATCACGCTGGGTGTTCTTTTTCGTATTGCTCGTACTAAATGTACTTAAAATACAGTAGACATTGCAGCCTAGGCCTTTCCAAACCCCAGATTCTGAGCCAAGATATGCCAAAGTCGGAAATTGGCCAATACGTACATCAGTTGAGAGCCCCCCCTTCAAGGTCATCTGATGCTCAAATCGTGCTAATTTCGGCCGTACATAAAGCAGAGTGTAATAATAGCTTGTTTTGACATTTCAGGTTGGAAGGCCTAAACTATGAGTCTATATGTAGGGACCAAGATCGATGTGACCGTCCCCATCGAGAAGCTGGAACAAATTAAGGTCTCCAAATCCATGATCTCCGTCATTCCTCCCGTCAAGAATTGACAAATCTGGTGTCCTCGGAAGCGAGTTTGACAGAGTCAAAAACGAAGTATCCATGTCTGCGAAAGACGGCGAGCCTAGACCCAAAAAGCCAGAGACGGAATTTGTCTTGACTGCCGATTGGCGGTCTTGGCCCAGTCCCGGAACAACATCATGAGCAGAAGAATGGACGATTTGCTCAGATTCCACGTTATCCCTCGGTACTAGCCCAAACAACTGTGACGAGCTTTCCGTCCTTTGAAGCCGTTCCTCAAGCTCCTTCTTTTCGAGGTAATCTAGTGCAGCATTTAGAAGCGACTTTGCAATGAGAGAGTACTGCGAAGCATGGGCATCTTTCTTTGCGAAGTGCTCTAGTACCATAATTGCGTTCCGCGTGTACTTTTCGAGGATGCGGCCGAAGGACCCCAGTAAGCCAACGCCCAGGATAAGAGAGGAAGCAAAGAGCCACGACCTAGTCAAACTCAGCGTCGTGCAACAATCTATTCAAGCCTCAATACTCACACGATGAGTGGCATTTGTCCATTTAGGTATTGCCTCTCAGTCAAGCCAACCAGTATGTCGACCATAAAGCTTGCTGCATCTATGCAAGCATCGGCGAGCTTCGATTTGCCGGAGACCAGACTGGATCGACTGGTCGAGCCACCGGCTGATCCTTCCGTCAAGCGCTTGTGAAGCTCATACATAAGAAACGGTCGCGAGACTAGAATCACAGCTGAGAAGTGTGAGCTAAGCGGTGAACTGACTCAGCCGTCGACGGACGATGAGCTTACCGTAATAGTATGAGCATAATACTTGGCAAGCACCGGTGACCTTGCTTGGATCCTCCCCGTCCGCCGATTTGGACACAACGTCTTTCAATCGTTGAAGCCACCGGACAGACCAATCCCGCAGCTGTCTTGAAATACCCTCTGTCAACTGGTAGGAGACCTTTTTCCGCGAATACACTTCGACGACAATACCTTCAGTAATGAGAAATATTTGAGCTGAGGCGTTGAGGAGATCGAATGCCTCTTGTCCAGTTGTATCATCCGAATCGCGGTATGGAACGCTACAGTCAACATCAGACGTTGCTGGCGGCCTGCCCATAGATGTACTTAGAAAGAGATCCAGCACACGCAAACTCTTCCACAAACGATCTCTGTGGTCATGTCTTGTCAGCGCAACAAGTCGTCAAAGAGACAGATCCTGTCAAGCTGCCTTACCGCTGTCTTTGAATGTCGGGCCCAAAACGAGAGTTGATTTCTTGGCGGTGTGTTCCGATAGAGTATGCTGCCCTTACTGCGATTCCTTTTCACAGTATCAGTCCAGACTTCTTCGTTAAGTTTTATACCTAAGATCATCTAACCAAAGAACAAGAATGCCCCATTCATCTGGCAAGAGCCTAACATGTACAGAGTGACCAGAATAAAGGTCTGGATAGTGGGGACGTTGATGTTGCCACTGAGATTGGTGAGTGCCGTGTTGCGTGCATACTCGAAGTAAGAAGATGCCAAATCTTCTTCTGCAGACTGATATCCTATAGCAAGAACTAGGTAGAAAGCTGCGGAAGCAACGTCTTGTGATCTATGGTCTCGTTGAGCCCAGGCACACACCTCGTTCACGAGGCGAGCGTCATCGAATAGGTCAACCAAACCACTAGTCTACATTGGAGTTATAAGCATTGATCAACTGGAAGTCAAGCTGGTGGAGTTCAAATCGTCTTACAACGGCACGGTACGTGGTAATCGCTTGAGGAATGGTACCCGGGTGAAGGACAGGCTCGCCATTGCCGGAATAATGCGCAGGTGGTCTAAAAGACGGATTTTCCGTTTGATGAGCGAAGACGTGAGGGTCTACTCGAGTGTTGACAAGTTGCCGTACTGTTTGGAAGAAAGATAATGGCGCACAATCTCCAATAAAGACTGGCGAGGTTTCATTAACTCGCGAAGACGTCAAATTAGGGGAGACGAGACATACTTAGCTTGCCTTGAGCATCACACAGCAGGCGCGCTTCACGAGGAACCTCCGTCTCCTCCTCCGCCAAAGAATCGTGGCCAGCCTCCGTCGCAACATTGGCCTGATCGGCGCCGTTGTGCACAGACGGTGACGGTGTTCTCGGAGTTGGCGCCGGAGCTCGTCGTCTCTGCTGTGGTGAGTATCGACAAGTTGCTGGACGCTGGCGTCTCAAACAGTAGCTACATGGCAACTTTCCATCGCATTTGACTATTCTCGTGGTTAGATACATGCCCTGATTTATCGGAGAAAACATCTCAAGCAGAGTGCGTCCTAGCAACACAGCCGTTGAATCCATTCGCAATTGCCATCTGCATCTGTGTGCTGCTCGCCGTAGGACTTGAGCAGCATCAGGTATGAATAATGTTAGGGGCAGGTACCTTTTCTTGCTTTGCAGCTGTCGCAAGCATTCGCGACCCTTGTGCGAACATAAGTGTGCGGCGATGCCTCCCGCACCGAGACATCATCCATTCTGGTGCAACCGCCGATATCCCTTGGAGTAAAGTCGAATCGCGGAAGAAGGAAGATCGGACGCGGAGCAAGAAAGCCAATTACCGAGGGGTCAAGGTTTTCCGCACTGCAACTGTGGTGACGCTAAACCTTGTCGGGCTTCCGGGAGGGTGTACGTGAGCAACTCATGACGCCAGTGCTCACAGTAGTTCCGCCCAACGACACGTTATCGGATGCACTGTGCTTGCCATGTCTAAACGCGAACCCCCCGGTTTGATCCTCGGATCCTGCGATTCCTTGGCCGCCCACACACAATTCGGCTTACTCTTGTAATATCCGTACTCCCAGCAACCCGGCCGCTCACAGTCGCATGCTGTGTGGCTCTCGTGACCCGTAGACCGCAAACGTCGACGCATTCTGTTACGTGAGCACATCCGAAACCGCCCGGAGGCGGAAGACGGCCCACCATGGCTGGACATGTGTGAGTGTATCCGATACTCTTCTTGTGCCTCCACTGTCTGCAGGTACAGAGCAGGAAGAAACTAACTTAGTTCGTGCTTTTAGGGACATGATGGACGACGTCCTTATTTCAAATTGTACGCCAGGCTGTGGAATATAGCTTCGCCTGTGCTGACAGCCGTCCCAAGTAACACCGGCCTTGCTTCGATCGTCCCTGCGACTAGTCATTTCCCAAGGCCCTTTGATACAGAATATCTTCGTGAAGCATGTGCAAACCAGACTAGCTGAATCTCCTGTGTCATTTCCACGTATACATGCCCTTTTGGGCGATGACGGCGGGCTTTCTGGGTCATTTCTTGAGTATTTGAATTGGAACAGATGCCTCTTCTCTGCCAAATTACCCAAGCAGTCGCTGCCAAAGTAAGTTTCACCTGCTGTGTATGTTGTTGAGGTTTTGCTTACTTGCCAAAAGTCTCGCAAAAATCATCCAAGCAATGACTGTCGTGAAAGATGAAAATCCGAACCCAGCAGAGGCTCTAGAATTATCGTTGCAGATGATTGATGGCGACATCGTCCAGGCCATACAGGCTTTGAAGGAGATTCAACCAAGTCCCGAGCCAGACCTTGAGCACCAACTCCGCCATCTGATTCTTGCATTGGAGAATTACAAGCGGGTGCATGATAGTAGGGACTCTGAGTGTGCGGAATACCCCTTTAATCGCAGTGAGCGGCAGGTGAAAGACGCGTTTGTGGCGCTGTTCCCAGAATGCATGTCGGCCACAGCTCCTAGGTCACGCGCCAAGACGCTCATGTCACTGAAGATTGCAACCAAACCTGATTTTGAGACCTTTTATCTTGGGCCGTATGAGTTTCCCAGAGTATTGAATGGTCTGTGGCAGCTTTCATCCGCAGCGTGGGGAAGCGGAAGTACTAGCAGGCAAGAAGAAGAGCTGGTCCACCTTGTGCAGGCGGGCTTCACGGCAGCAGACATGGCTGACCACTATGTTCGTTTTATTCCGAGTCTTCCTACTTCCTAAACTGACTGGATATCTCTAGGGTGATGCTGAGCTAGTCTACGGCGCCTTCAGGAACCGGTTGTCGCCAAGTGTTAGGTCACAGGTTCTTGCTGCAACAAAATGGTGCGTGTTTGCACCTCCTACGGAGGCTGTCACAGCGAAATTTGTCCTGGATGCTGTAAAAGAGAGGTATCGACGACTTGGAGGCAGGATTGAATTGCTTCAGCTTCACTGGCACGACGTAAGTTCGGACTCGAGTTGCGCTGTGGTCTTTTACATGTAGCTCATACCATCGCTGCATCAGTATCACGACATGATCATGCACTGGGGAACTTGGCGAGACTTCCAGGACTTGCTAGAGATTCTTTCGACGGTGGCCCAGGAGCACAGGGTGAGTATTTCAAATATAGCAGCTCGCTGGGTTCTCCAGCAGCCGACTGTTGGAGCGATCATTGTAGGGACACGGCTTGGAATTTCTAGCCACGTCGAGGAAAACCTCGCGACGTTCGGATTTAACTTGAGCGACTGGGATCTCGATAGGATCAATGTCATGGCACTGGGATCGAATCGTACGAGAACCAGGCGGCTATTCACAAGCATCGGGGACTGTGGAACCGAATATCGAAATGGCCATTAGTTGCTGCGTTCATGTATGGCGAGCTTGTCAGGATTCACACGATGGAGCAGTAATTAGTAATGAGTGAAAAGACTCCTGCTCATTGGCGAGGCTTGAACCTTTGCTAAGCGTGACAGCTATGCCTTTTAATCAACAAATAAGACGTGGCATGCCACACTAATACTAGGCAATGAACAAGTTGGTTGGTCATGATGATGATAGATGTCATATTGGTGTAGTTAGCGATTCGGCGTCTATGGATTCCTGAAAAACCCGATGCCGCTCAGATCATGTGGGCTCGCATGGGTACCACAGTGTAGAGCACAGACACTTCCGACATCCGCACTCTCTTCCGCACACACAAATTTCAACCTAGAACGCCTCTCGGATGCGACTTTCCCCATTAGTGGATCAGTCAGCTCCTGAATGGAGCATCCAGGTTACACGCGGAACAGAATTCTTCATCCCCTTGCATTAGTTTGGTATTTGTCTAAACCGCCATGCTGATGTCGTCAATCGCTATATGGATATCACAAACTTTGTCTCAAAGCAAAAATCACTTCTTCCGCCCTTGGTCCAGCTGCCCTGCCTGCAAGGTCTCGTCCCTCGTTTGCTTCAAAAACGGCATCAATGCTGTGCCGCCCGTCCCCGTAAGCTGGTCATCTTTGGTAGCAGACGCACTGGCCAAGTCAACCTTGGCGGCATTGTAGGCCTTCTTGGATGGCAGAACAATGTACCGTGTGACGATCTGCAAATGCTTGTTTCTGAACTCCGTCATGGTCTTTGTCGCGTTCTGGTATGCGTCGCGAAATCTCTCCTGCTGCGGCGTGGACGCAGGGAGCTTGGCAAACTCGCGGATGCTACCCATACGAGTAACATGCTCCAAGAAGCGTTTGTGAGGTCCCGGCATATAGTCACGCACTTCCTCGTGGAATGCGGGTGTACCCTTCTGAGCGGGTGCGGTCTTACTCGCATGAGGGTTGCTGTTGCCTTCCGACTTGTGTTCCACACCCATGACAATATCGAGAAACTGGATGAGAGAGCTCTGGCCGTTACTGCCACCTCTGAGCTGTTGCCAGCTACCACGACCATCTCCTTCGTCGTAGAATACGCCATTCGGTAGCCCTGCTGCTGCCATATTCTTGCTGCCGGCAAGGTATGGACGAATTTCATAGAAGAAAACCATCGGATCGCAATGTTCGTACATGCGCTCCAGCAGAGCACCGATCTTTCGGATATTTTCCGACAAGCCCTCGAGAGCCGTAGTGATTGTGGCGTAGTCTCTTGTCTTGATTGATTCCAGGGCGTTCAACATATCTGTCATAATGCGAGCGCCTTGTGCCTCCATAGCTACCGACACTAGGTAGAACCAAGCCTCGTCCTTGGTACCGGTAAAAGTGTGAAGGGATTCCAATGATTCGAGATCGGTAAAGTCGTCGGTAGTCGACAAGAAGTTCCACAAATTGAGACCAGCATAGGTGGCAACCGGGGGGACTTCCAAATGCCTGGAAACCTCCAAGAGGGGAATCGAGACTGAGGGGGGCAGAATCTAGGAATTCATTAGAAAGGTCCTGTTTTGGATGCCACGACTTCCTTACCTCCTCGGCCTTTTCTCCACCCCAAACATAGGCATGCGTGAAGAATGTCAAGATCACGTATGCTCTCCTCCATTCGGCCTCGTCCATGAGCTTGTCTGTGCTCAAGACTGAGAGAGCATCGACCTCCCGTCGCAACTTCCCAGCCTTAAGCAGTTGCGGGAGATGTTGGATGATCTTTTCCCATGGCGTATAGTACGAATTCGGAAGCACTTTGAGCGGCGCGTCTGCGGGAAGGAAACCGTTCTGAGTAATAGCATATTTCTCGAATGAAAACACGTCTTCCGGCGATTGTTCTGCTGACACTGGGAGGGCGTGGGGCGACATTGCAACTAGCGAAGGCTGTGAAACAAGCGATACAAGAAGAGACGGAAGTCAAATGGAAAGCTTCAAGAATGGCTGACTAGAGTGTGAGTAAGTTGGTTGTGATGGAGAGAAGAGAGACAAGGTCAATGCGAGTCAGGGAACAACTAGATGAAGAAGTATTTCCTCAACGTCTTCCACAAACCTGTTCCCATCGCCTATCACCTGTCCATTTGTCGCGGACCCGACTGAGGGATCTCGTCATCCTATCCGGTGTAAGTGGGCCAAACCGAGACCCGTCGGCTACATGCGGAAGTAATGAATCGGAGACGGAAACGGATCGCGGAACAGGGTGGGGCCGTGCGTCAAGTTTGCGGAATGACGATGCGCGCTATCTTGGGGGTCTTGGGGCGGCGTCGGGTACAAAGACGAGGAAAACGCCCAGGCTACCGTGCAGCTTGTGCCACAATTGCGAATTCTCGATTCATCAAGCAGTCAAAAGCATACTCTCTCGTACGATTCGCCATGGAGTTTGCCGCCTTTGCAGAACAGATCCGGTCCGGCCATCCGGCCAAGTTCCCCACGAATGCCAACACTGCCGAGTATGCTCAGCAACTCGATGCACAAGACAAGCTCAGGCATCTCCGCGATGAGTTCATCATCCCAACCAAGGGTTCTTTGAAGAAGAAGGAGTTGAACGGCACATATCCTAGTGAGTTTTCATTTGAGAATTTTGTGGGAGACAGGGCTCTGACCAACTCGACAGACAAGCAGGCCGTGAACGGCCACGTAAACGGCGTCAATGGTGTTCCCTCGTCAAATGATGACGATACTTCATCTGTCTACTTTTGCGGAAACTCTCTAGGAGTTCCCCCCAAGGCAGTTAAGGAATATGTCAATGCTCAGTTAGAGACATGGGCTTCGATAGGCGTCAATGGCCACTTCAATGGACTTGGCAACTCACCTCTGGTCTGCTGGCAGGACATGGCTGAGGATGTTGCGAAGAAGAGCGCCCCTATCGTGGGCGGTCTTCCCGAGGAGGTTGTCATGATGAACACCTTGACGGCGAACCTGCACTTCCTGCTGGCAAGCTTTTACCGCCCGACAGAAAAGAAGCACAAGATAATTCTGGAATGGAGGCCTTTCCCCAGCGACCATGTAAGAAACTTCCCTTTCCTAAAACCCAGCTGTCAGGTGAATACTCACATGGAAGCAGTACGTTATTGAGTCTCAAATCCAGTGGCATGGTTTGGACCCGGCCAAGTCGATGGTGCAGATTCAACCCGACGAGAATTTCTACATCTCAACGGAGTTGATACTGAAGACCATTGATGAGCATGCCGAAGAGACAGCCCTGCTTCTACTTCCTGGAATCCAATACTACAGTGGCCAACTTTTCGATATTCCCCGCATTACCGAATACGCCCAGTCAAAGGGACTCGTGGTCGGTTGGGACTTGGCACATGCCGCGGGCAACGTCGAGCTGAAGCTCCACGACTGGAACGTTGACTTTGCAGCATGGTGTACCTACAAGTACCAGAATGCGGGTCCTGGTGCCATGGCTGGTGCATTCGTCCATGAGAGACATGGGAAGGTTGACACAAGTGAAGGCAAGCCCAAGTTCCGTCACAGACTGACGGGATGGTACGGAGGTGATAAGTCGGTGCGGTTCAACATGGACAACAACTTTTTGCCCACAGTAGGCGCCGGTGGCTTCCAGGTGTCGAACCCTTCGGCTCTCGACCTTGCCGCGCTCTCTGGCGCCTTGTCTGTGTTCGAGAAGACGTCCATGTCTGACCTGAGGACAAAGTCTCTTGTTCTTACGGCATATGCAGAGCACCTGCTTGATGGCATTCTCGCGGACGACACTGGAAGTGAGCCATCATTCCGCGTCATTACGCCACGCAATGCACATGAGAGAGGTGCGCAGCTTAGCGTACTGCTCAAGGACGGGCTGTTGGATCGTGTAGTTGATGAATTTGCGACCGCGGGCGTGGTGTGTGATAAGAGAAAGCCAGGCGTCATTCGTGTGGCTCCAGTGCCTCTCTACTGCACATTCCACGATGTGTGGAGATTCATGGACACTCTGAGAAAAGCTATTGCTTAATATAGTCTAATGTAATACAAATAGCAAGTCATATGAAAACCAACTATCTTCACTTCACCGGGGCTTTTGTCGTGTGCATATTTTGAAGTCTTGGGCGCCTTACCAGCATGACCCCTTGAGCTTCCTAGTTGCGCGAAAGCATCCTGTCCAGCCGTCCGTGCATACGAAGCATTTGGGGCTCTCATCGTTGCAGCGCATATGTTTGTATTCGACCGCACGGTTCCTGTTGGTATTTAAGTGATTGCGAGGCCTCGGGTTGTAGAAGTTCATCCTCAGTCTATGTTCCGAATCAATTGAGGAACTTCAACTTAATTTGCCCCATTGGAATGCTAAAGAGCTCAGTACAACTTAAGAAATTGACGACTTGGTGTGTAGGATGGTGAAAGACGATATAAAGCACCAGCTAAACATCCATCATGTTGCTAGCAATACCTGAGTGTGATCAATCGCAAGAAAATGAGAATGAGGGTGGTCCGGCCCGGCATAGGGTCTTCATAGAGAACTTTTGGGAAAGACCTAGATATCCATGAATGACATTGCCGTCTGCTGACGTAGAACACAGCACAGTCTACGCTGGAGTTCAGCTACTATAGACGACTATGCCAAGCACAGCAATCCTTTGCTCGAAAGTGGATCTTTCGAGCCAATGTGATAGCAGGCACCTGTCTGAATGCAGAATCGATTTGCGTAATGGCATATTATCAACTTGTCGGAAGAGCCAAGATGGATGGACGAAGACGGTAATAAGAGTCGCAAAGCATTTTCAAGTCGCTCTGCCGAGTTATCAACAAAGAGAGTTTAGCTTTGCGGCTCTAGGAGTCCAAAGCCAGTTACGTGATGATATCGCCATCAATCACTTGACGGATCCGACGGTCTTCTTGTTGGCGAACTAGCAGCATGTCGTTAGCCGCAATGACGGCAGAGGCAAATTACTACTAGCGTTGACTTGCATCGGGAGCCAAACCCTCGCGGGCCGAAGGATCGAGGCGGTGGGCTGGAAAACGAAAACGGCAGGCTGAGACCCCAACGACAAACGAACAACGGGGGGAGAAGACCCCGACCTGGAATCTCTCATCTGCCTAGACAGATCTAGACTCAATTCAACGCTAAGTCCTGTCTATGGGTCGGATACTCCACACCTCGACTTTGCTTTACGGATGGCTGAATGCGGGTTTCAATCCCTTGGCTGTAATCTGAAAACGGTTATGACCCCAATCGGGCCGCCTCTTGCGTAGGAAAAAAGGCCCCTCCAGCCCAGAAACAGCAACCGAGTAGTCGGTAAACTCAGGGTCAGAAATCCCAACGCTGAAGTGATTCAGTGACAAGTGAGACACGGCGAGACATTGCGGCGAAGGATTCAATGGTAAAGGTGACGATGGTAGCGACTTGGAGACAACATACATCAAGCGAAAAATAATAAATAGCGACCAAATGCTTCACTTCAAAAAAAATCTTTATCGCACCACAATCCAATCAACTCAACACCAATAAATCATCACATCCAAGCTTTTGCACTATCTTACCCTGATACTTTTGACTCCGATCTTCTTTGGCCCAGAAACACTCGAAATAACCGCCGAATACATCAAAATGCGTTTCACCAACGTCCTCGCCATCTTTGCATCTGCCACTGCAACCTCAGCACTCCCGCTTTCTATCCTTAATGGTCTCTTCGGCACTGGCCCAACGGCCAACTCATTGGTGCAGAGTTTGGGAGCTGTAAACACCGAGCTTGTTAAGTTGAACGTCAGCCTTGCCGGGCTCAACTCAGCAAACTTGCAATCTCAGGCCACTGGTAGTGGAAGCAATGTCAACGATTTAGTCAACAAAGTTCTTGGACCTGTTCTGCAATCGCTCACTGGGAATGGTGGTCTTCAGACTGCATACACCACTGCTTTGAGCCAGCTTGCCACTCTGAACAGCCAAGGCATCACTCTTCCGCAAGCCCAAGCTGCTCAGGTTGCCAGCGCTCTCACCACCTACCAGACTCTGTTGCCCCAGGTGTTGGGTCAACTCCAGGCCGCCCAGCCTGCGATTACTACGGCATCGGGAAGTGGTCTTCTTGGGTTGGTACAGAACCTTCTCGGCGGGAGCTTGGTCGGCAGCACCGGCGGCACCGCTACTCCGGTCAGCACTGTTCAAAACTGGCTCTCAACTACCCTCAACAACAACGGCAACCTCCTCGGTGCAGTCGGCACTATTCTCCAGCGAGTGCAGCCTACAATCCAGTCCACTCTTCAACAGGTTACCGACCTTCTTCAGGGACTCATCCGGGCCCAAGTCACCGTTTACAGCGCCTAATCGAACAATTAGCAAAACAAAACTTCTGAACGCGATATAAGGAGACTGGATTCTCTCGGCAACGACTCAAGGAATTAATGTGGATGGAAAATTAATATGGGAATTTGGCTGGGACATAATAGGCTGGTGTTGGGAATAACGCATCGACGAGAAGCTACTAACGACAATCTTTCATAACGACAATCATTCATCGTAATCTTAATAATGGAACTGACTTTCTTTTTTATTTAATGCTACCACTACTTGCCTGTTGAATCTTTGCTGTGCTCCCCATTGGATCGTAGCGCCTCAATCTCGATCTTGCTTGGTCGAAATGCCAAGGTACGTCACTGAGACCTGCACGGCCATTTGCGGCCAAGCGAACTGCGCGGTTGACGCACTTTCCAGCCCAAGCCGTTGGGGGCTGGGTCAGCAGAGCGTTTTCCGCCTATCGCTGGCCGTTGCGCTGTGGTACAGGATGCCTGGCTGGGGCTAGCGCACAGAACAGGCTGGTCAGACGACAGCGCGCAACGCCAGCGCATGACGTCACGAGCTGCTCAGCGGCCGCCTGGTATTAAATGCGTTGTTCTGCAACACTCAACTCGACACGAGCTGCACACCATATCTCTCGCCTTTACCCCGCCTTCACAGCCAATACTCGACCCCAGAAACGACAGAAAATCCCAATAACTCAGATCAAGGTCAACCGACACGATGTTTCAGACCGTCTTCTCCCCGAGCCTCTTCCTCCAGCTCTGTTTCGCATTGCTGGTGGCAGCCGCCCCTCTTGACCCTACCCTGTCCACGACTTCGCAGAACAGCTGGCAGTATGGAACGGGTGGTGGTGTGATTGGATTCATTGTGCTTGTCCTGGATATCATTGTCTTCAGTAAGTTGTTCCACGTGCGTCTTTGATACGGGTCGATCAAGATACTCACAACTCCCTTCCCAGTCGAGGTTCTGAAGTCCAACCGTCCCGTGAGCCACAAGGTCCTCTGGTGTCTTGTAGTCTTCCTTTTCCCCATCATCGGCATGATCATCTACTGGCTGTTCTCGAACCGCGCCGCACACAACACCCGCTCGGGATACGAGGCCGTAGCTTAAGCAGCTCACGATCACCACAAAATATCCAAAATTTGGGAGACACAACATTCACAATATGACGATTGGCATGGTACTGTAAGCCTGCGCATTAGCGACATGATATTGTATGAATTTCGCCAGGCGTATATATGGGCGTAATGTGTTGGACAACCGGCGCGCGTTGATGGACGTTCGCTGCCATGGCTTTCGGCCTGTTAAAGCCATACCGAATAGATATGCTCATCCAAAACGCCGACGGTCATCGTCCGTGAAACTAGCATCTGATTTGGTTCATATTTAGAAAATGCTTCGTTTCTTGACAATACAACAAGCGTTGGATTGAAAAGGTGTCGAGTTACATTACGACTCTCCTTTCCACAAAAAACGTTTTTCATGCGGAACGATGTGTTACGCCCCGAACTTCGGCCCATCCAGCAGCGCAAGAATCTCCTCTGCTGCCTTCAACCGACCGGCGCCTTCAGGATGTCGCTTGCTCAGATCCTTTGCCCGCGCCTGCATCATCTTGGCATGGGGACCAAACAGAACTTCCTCGAGACAGTCTCCAAATTCATCGCGCTTCCAGTATGGCTTCGCCTTACGGTTGGCCCATTTCCCTATGCCAAGAATCTCAGCACGCTGAGCGAAGTCGTAGCAATCTGCCCACCCAGGTAAAACAACCTGGGGTATACCGGTGCTATGTTTGCAAGCATTAGCCAGCTATGCCAACTGGAAGTGTTATGTATCGGGGATTGAACAAGACTCACCAAAATGCTTCATGGAATGAGTTCGAGCCGCCATGATTCACGGACAAGACCACGTTTCCTGACTCAAGGACAGACTTCGGCTCGGCGATGATCCAGTCTAAGATGCGGATTTGATCGTTGTCCATTTCTGGGCTCAGAATAGATTTGATCTCCTTCCAAGGACCCAGGAAATCGGTGCTTGAGGGATCGGTATCATCTCCGTCTGAAGTCTTCCGAGGCATCTTCCATAAAACCTGCAAGTTGCCCTGACCCAAAGGCTCGGAACATTTGGCAAGATCAAACAGGCGACGGAATGCTAGGACTACTTCTTTGGCTAATGGAACGTCAAAGAAGTGATGCGTGCCTAGGTTCATGTAGACTGTCGGGCCTCTGCTAAGCCAACTTGCCATTTCGGGATCCTGGGTGGTATCTGATATCGCTGGAGCAGCGCGAGTAATGGGGCCGCAAGGGGTAATGAACTCCGGGAGCACTTCGAAAGGGAAGTCGATGTCTGGGCTATTGGCCACGAGAAGACGAAGACCCTCGGGAGGTGCCTTAACCAAACCAAGTTGGTTCATCGTCAAGAGTTGAGTGTCCGGACCAATGACCTTATGTAGATACCCAGAGACTCTAGTGTGCCGCTTATTGGTTGAAACTGTCACGCCAGCCACCACGTTGTAGAAAACATTGAAAGGAATGAGGTGCAGTGGGACTGGGAACGGCAAGCTCGAGCATATGCTTCACGCCAACGTCGTTAGAATGCATACAGAAGCATGAAAGATGATTACTTACACAGGATACTTCCACAGCATTGCCATCTTTGGCTGAAGTGGCAGAGCAAAGTCCTTGATCGTGTTTGGAGCAAGTACAATCCAGTTCATCTTGATGCGGTTGCAAAAGGTGAGTGCCGGCGCGAAGAATGCCTCTGCAACTGTGACATCTGGCTTAACGTCGTTCCAAATGCGCTCGAGATCCCGATAGATCTCGACGAACTCTTCGGGGCTCCACGGAAGAGCAAGGCCGGCAATGTTGAGCATATTGCGAGTGACATTGCTGAAGTTTGGGTTCACCAGCCAAGTTTCCATCGTAGGGTTTCCAGGTCTATCGACAGAGTCGAAATGTGACAAACCAGCCACCTCGTGAAACTTGACGGCGTCCACCGCCACTGAGCCGAGGTCCGCAGTCAGCTGTTTGACTAGGCGGGATGTCGGTCCCTTCAAACGAGCCTGCGATGCAATGTGAGCCTCGACATCCTGAGACTTATGAACCAGAGCATGGGCGACGGATAGAACAACGTTAGCCTGTCCATAGTCGCTGTTTGTCAGAAAAATGATTCTCTTCTTCGGCGGGGCCATCTCTACGGCTGGGAGGATGGGAGCAACAATCTGTGTGGTTGTTCAGAGACCTTCTCTCCAAAGACTTTTCGCATGATGATATATAGGGGCGCTTGAGAATTGTGGCAGACAGGCACTCTGATCCCGACACAAGGCTCCAATGCCGTTATCAGACAGCGGTCTTACGAGGCTACCTAACTCCCCACTCATGGGCCCTCAGTGGGTACGCGCATGCAGTCATCCCGAGCTCGTCCGTCGAGATCGACAATGCAGTAATCACAGACCCTGACCTATGTGTTTTGTCAGGTATGAGAATAGTATTTACGGTGGATAAATGGTGCGTCTCAACTGTTGAGGTCACATCAAGATATCACGAAGGGCCGAGAGCGCTTACATGCAGATTAAGATATACGGGGCCTGCAGTTCTATGTAACCTAAGAGTTGACGAGTCCAATCAAAAACGTCTTAACCTGTGTATGGATCAATAAAGTCGAACGTCTTGCATGATTCCCTATCGAATGCAACGCCCATTCCAAACACGTAACCGGTGAACGGGTTGAGGATGACCACATGCATGACGAGACGAGCAGAATTACCCGAAATGGACTGAGAATCAGACGGGTTAGTACAGGCTGACAAGAAAACTGTCAGCGATAAAAGAAACGGGGAAATGACTCTTCTGCGGTAAGAAATCACGCATGCGGATCGCCCTGTTTTGATAAACGGTGCCCACATTGGTTTGGTCATCTGGAGAGAGATACAATCCACCGCCATGTCATTTTCTGAATTAATACCAGACAATACATGCAGGTAAGCTCGTATACAGTAGACACATCTGCGGCCGCCCGTCACCTTGAGAACGGAGCAATTCTTTGATAGAAATATTACACTTTGAGGCGGGATACGTGGCAATACTACGAGGACTTGGGCTTCTGTCAGCGGCTGACGGACACAGCCACGTAACTGCGCGAGAAGTGACAATCTCAGGCACGATAATCGTATGGCTGAATTCATTATATTCAAACACAAAGGCTCACTGCCTTGGCGTTCTAGAATGCTACTATGAGTGATATAAACCTCAGCTCCCATCGCATTAATGCTTAACCAGGTTATGTATGATATTCTGCTGCTTACTGAGGTAGTCACATCGCGCTTGGAAAACTCATAGTTGGGTCGCTGTGATAACACAAATACCAGGCGCGGATATCTACAACATGTCTAGTCCAAAGACAAGTCCTGTTTCATGTGAGCTACGTCTGGGAGATGTTCGCCTGTGACATAGCACAATTCAGGTTTGATCTAACATTCATGAAGTAATCCCTTGCACTAGTGCTTTTGCAATTTAATACTATCTACCTAAGTATTGTGAATGTTAAGTTAAATGATACCCTAATAGGTGTGGGGAATTGTTAGTGACTAGAGATAAACCCTCTGCAAACGCCTACGGATAACACGAGTTTTCACCGGTTCACTTCTTCAGCTGGAAACATCTCACAATAGTAGCTGAGGTTCATCTCATGATCCAAAGTGACACGGTTAGAAAGATACATGCAGTTGACAATCGGCAGTTTACCTATTGTTAAGGACACCGCGATGGCAGTGAGATTTCACTAACTTTCACTTGGAATCGATGATGTCTCTCTTAGGCTACCCCGCCGCATTGGTACTGGATGCTCAGGGACTGACCCCGCGATCTTACTGCGGGGACGTCGGGAGATCTCAGGGTTCAAACGCGGGGAAGACGCCCTTGACCTTGAATCTAAGAAGCCGAATGCCGCATTTCCGAGAAATGTGTACGACCTGGGGGTTATAAAGTTATGGCAGCTTTCCAGCGGGGAATTTCTTCATGCGACGTCATTTTTGTTCTGCATACTATAGTACTTCATTACTTCACGCACGAACTTTAGGCATGACTGAGCCTACTGTTCTCATTGTGGGTGCTGGGACCTTCGGCACATCCACTGCGTATCACCTGGCAAAGTCTTACGATGACCCAAGCCGAATTACTGTAATCGACCGCTGGAACGCCTCGTCCCGGGGCCCCAGCCCTGCAGCCGCCATAGACGTCAACCGCATCATTCGCACAGACTACGTGAGCCCCTTGTACTGTAATCTCGCCAACGAAGCCATCCATCCTTGGTTTTGGGACATTGACTTGGGCCATCATTTTCACAAGACGGGTTGGGTGGTTATTGATGAGAAAAACAGCGAGTTTACGACAGCCGTCCGACGGACGTTTCGGCTGCGAGGCTCGGACTATACCAGGGACGTGGATGTGTCCAGCGTGGGGAATACTTGGAAGATGCTCCAGGGAATAGACACTGCTGACGTGGGCGATGCTTACTTTAATCCGGAAGCCGGATGGTGCGATGCTGCGTCTGCCACCTCGAGCTTCATGGCAGCTGCTGAGAGAAGAGGCGTGCAAAGAGTGACTGCCGACGTCGAGGAACTCCAACTTGACACTGGAAGAACGAGAGTAATAGGTGTCCGTACAGCAGACGGAAAGCAAATAACAGCCGACAAAATTGTACTGGCAACCGGCGCCTGGACGAGCAAGCTTCTCGCGCCGATTGAAGACACTCTCGATATCGCGGTCGATGACCGCGTTGAACAACAATTGAAAGCAGTGGGCAGGGTGTCGGCCTACTACACGCTGACATCGCAAGAGACGGAAATGATGTGTGCAGACAACTTGCCCATCTTGGTATACAAAGGCTGGGGGATTTTGACTCCACCTTCTCCCGACAATCGTACACTGAAGGTCAACGACCTCCGCACAGAGTTCGTGAATACCCAAACGACGTCTTCCGGCCAGCGGATCTCTGTCCCCGACTTACGGGGCCAAAAGAATGTCCCAGAAAAGCTTCAAAAGGAGATGGGCAGCTTACTGAAGGCAATGATACCAGCCTTCTCATCACAGCGGAAGCCAGATCGATGGCGGATCTGCTGGGATGCTGCGACACCGACGGGCGACTGGCTGCTATCCAGACATCCACACGCGCAGCTCCAGAATTTGCATATCGCGGCTGGGGGGAACTTCAGCAGCTACAAGTGAGCCATCTTTTGTATAATAAGACTCAGAGACTGATTACAATATGTCACAGGTTTATGCCTATCGTCGGCTGGTACATATGTAACGTTCTCAACGGTCAGAGCAACGGAATCGAAAAAGACGAAGCATGGGGCTGGAAGGGTACCGCGCGCATTCAGCAACAAGTCAAACACAGAAATGAGCTAGGCGGGAAAACGAGCGTGGCACAGCACTCCGAACTGGACTGGTTCAAGAGCGGTATGATATCTAAGATTTAGAATGCCTTTCCATTAGAGTTCTTATTAAGTCTCAAAAGCCAATACGCCGTTGCCTTCTCCTTGCGGAGCTGCTCGTAACCCAGCTCATTTACTTCATTATCTATTAAAGTATTAACCTGCTTAAGTATGTTCATCATGCTTAGAGAGACCACCTGTGCAAGCGTCTGCCAGGCGTTATCCACAGCTGACATGCGTGTGCGCGCTAGAAAGTGTGCTGTTACAGCGCACATAAGACTAATCTGCACAGCTATTAGCAAGCTAGCTATAATCACCTTAAGCTACTGTTTAGATATAAGCCCTAGCTATATAAATAAGGTAACTGCTATATAGTTATATAAAGTTTTAATAGTTAGGAGTCTAATCTTTAAACTAAATTTAGTTTAATAATTAGTTAAGATTAGTTAAAAAATTCTATATATAGATTAAGTTTCCTAATATACTACTAATAATAAATAATTATATTATTTATTAAAACAGCTACTTAAAAAAGAGTAGGTTTATAAAAACTAAAGGTAAGATTTATTAAAATCTTATTAAGTATTACTTATTAAACTTTCTATACTTAAAATATCTATACTATAGATATACTTAAAGATAATAGTAAGGTATTCTTTTTAGCTAAATTTTTAGCTTAATATATTAGTAATAATAAATAATTATATCATTTATTAAAACTATTATTTAAAAAAGAGTAAGTTTATAAAGACTAAAAATAAGATTTATTAAAACCTTATTAATATATATTATATAAGGTAAATATAGTTATAGTAATATATATATTAAGAAGGTTAACTATATTATTATAGTTAGCTATCTAATAGTAAGGTCTGCTAATAGAAGTTAGGGATTAATACGTTCTAATAGTATACTAAGTTATAGTCTAAGTTAAAGGTTATAAGCTATAGTAGATTAGGTTTTTAGAAACTAAGGTGATTAGTCTTAGGTTTAATAAGTAATTTATAGTAAAAGTAAGCTAAGAGTATTTTAAAGATAAATACTAAGTTAATTACTAAAAAGTTATAGGAGTCTAACCTTAAACTAAGCTTAGGTTATACTATATATAAGTCCTAAATAGTATTCTTCTATTTACTTAAGAGTAATTACTTAGGTATATAAAGTGATTATAATTAGTTAGTAATACTAACTAATTACTAAGCGTTTTATTCTATACTTTATTAATTATTTCTTTATCTTATTATTATATAACTTATATTATAGTTCTTCTATACTAAGTAAGTTCTTATTATCTTTATGATCTTATAGTATAAATATCCTATCCTAGCTACTTAACGCTTAAGTAGGTTGTTTAGCTATTATCCTTATTTATAGGTTGTAATATATATCTTAAGCTTTAGGCGTATTTATTATATTAAAGGCCTTAAGGATCTTTACTATATTTAACGCGCTAGCTATATTAATTATATTAGATATAGTTAAAGCGTTTATTATACTAAAAGTAGTAAACACTTTTACTACGTTATATATTAATTACTATAAATAAAAGAAAAGAATATTATCTATAATAATAAGTATAATTTCAATTTATAGCTTATTATAGCTAATATAACTATATATAACTTAAACCTTACTCCTATATACTTTATTTTATAATCCTACTTTTATTAATATAGCTTATAGTTAACTCCCTATTAGTGCGTCTAAATATATATATCTTAAAGAAAGTATTCTTAGTATTAAATATTATTTAGATA